CACCATATTTTACTCACAGCACACTTACGCTAATATTCCAGGGCAATATTTTATGTATATTATTTAATAAAATTTACAGCTCCATATATCCAGTTTGTGTCTCAAATATGCTTTAAAATGCCCTCAAAATCAACATTTAATTTTAATTTAAACTATGGCTCAGCAGTTAAGAACACTGGTTAGTCTTCCAGAGGACCTGGGTTCCATTCCTGACATCTACACAGTGGCTCACAACAAAACTCGTCTTGGGATCAACATCCTCTTCCAGCCTCCATAAACCAGGCACATACATGGAGCACAGCAGGCAAAACATCCAAACACATAAAAAATGGAAATAAAATCTTTAAAAAATATATTTCAGTTGCTCAATGACCAACTGCGTCAATCAAGTACTGCATCAGACAAGACTAATACTTTACTAGTAAGTTAGACACCGAATTTAACTAGCTGGAAGAAAAATCAAAAGGTGGAATAGCGCTATTGTGTTATAATTCTGTAGCTTAAACTACAATTTTAGAATGAAAAGTGCTCTATAGGTTACTACTAGTATTCTACTGGTTACTGAAGAGTAGGTTCAAAACAAAGATGAAGGAACTTTATTTGAATAATTGAAGCATGCCTCTTCAAATGCCACAAAATTGAAAGCTATAGTTAATTCGTGGAGAACAAAAATCAAGATTTCTATAGGATAATACAGCAAGGTAAAATTTAAATAAGTATTAATCAGTTTTATCTTGAAGGAGCACTGACTTTGGAAAGTAACACTTAATAAAATAAGAGATTTTTAACTGACAAGATGTAATTATTAAAGTCTGGCTACAAATTTTGTGAACAAGAACACAATTTACTCAAAGTATTATGATAAAACAGGAAAAGTATGTAAGTACTTAGTCATCTGGATGACCCTTAACAATTCTTAAACATAGATCTTTTCAAGACAGTGTTCTCATGTATCCCAAGTTGGCATTGAACTTACTATGTAACCTTGAACTTCTGATACTTTGTGGTCTCTGCCTCCCAAAGCTGGGAAAAGTGTGCACCACCATGTCCAGTTTATGCGGTGCTGGTGTTTCATGCATGCTAAGGCAAGCATTCTACCAAGTGAACATAATCCCCAAACTCATTGAAACCTTTATTTATTTATGTTTGTTTATTAGTAGCAGCTTTAGTAAAAAAGTTGTCCACAACTTTGGGAAAGAAAAGATCATTACAGCAATACTACACCACTCACCAATTCACATATCCCTATAGGTAGAAGACATGCTTTAAAAATGCCACAATCATACTTCAGATATTTCAAAACTCTCAACACAGCAAGGGAGACATTACACAGTATTTATTAAAATTCAATATCTGAATCAATCAATCAAAAATTACTGGTTTTACACAAAAATCAAAACATGTATTACATTGTTTCTAGTTGGGTTCTACAACCAATTTTATTGGTATACAAGATACATTTTGTAACCAGGCTGAGTAGCAAACAGCTAGAGGAAAGAGGCAGATGGATCTGAAGGTTAGGGACCAACAGGCCTGAGTCCATAGTGAGATCAGAGGGACACAGACAAAAAAGTCACAAACTGCTGGGCGGTTGAGGTGAACACCTTCAATCCCAGCACTCGGGAGGCAAAGGCAGGCCAATCTCTGAATTAAAGACCAGCCTGGTTATACAAGACCTAATTCCTGGACAGTCTACAAAGCCAGAGAAACCCTATCTCAGGAAAAAAAATAATAAAGTTAACATAGTTTCACTTCTGTTTCACTCAGTAACTAACATTTGGCCAAGTTTTAATTAGTAACCACATTGCTCTCTGTATTTAACATTATTCCTACCAACCTTTTCACCTTTGGTCACTTTAGTATTCCTATCTTGTTCAAAGGCATTGTTATGAGAACTAATTTGCACCTTTTTATTATAATTGAAGGATAAGTGGAATTAGTTTTATTTTCAATTACAGATAACTAATTGCACTGCCACTCCAGTCACTGCTGTCTATGGCATTCTTCTTGACTGAATATCATCTTCCCTGGTGAGGAAAAACAGATAAGTGTAATTACCTTACCAACTACAAATGCAAGCCATAATGCCCGTTGTTCATAAAAACAAGAAACCTCAGTTGAGGGGCTAGAGAGACAAGCCCATAAGTTAAGAGCACTGACTGCTCTTTCAGAGGACCCTGGTTCAATCCCCAGGACTCACATGGCAGTTCACAACTGTCTGTAACTCTGGTTCCAGGAGATCCAACACCCTCACACAGACATTCATGTCAGGAAAAACACCAACACATATAAAATAATAAAAAAGAAACCATTAAAAAAATACCTCAGTTGAAATAACCAATAGCCTAATATACTTCTCACATAGTAGCTATTAATCACAAATTTATCTACCATGGAGTTAAAGAAAGTAAATGATTTATAACAGGATATCCTACTGCTGCTATCAATAAAAATATTAACAGTAAAAAATATGAAATACTTAAAATAGTAAGTTTAAGAAGTTTCAACATTGAAAATTTAAATCATAGATTACATCACAGAAGGGTATTTTTGGTTTCCAACCTCAGAGTCATCTACTTAACTGAAAAAAATTAAAAAGTTACCAAATAAAATTCCACACCAAAACTATGAAATAGAGCTGGGGCAGTGGTGGCGCACGCCTTTGATTGATCCCAGCATTCAGGAGGCAGAGGCAGTCGGATCTCTGAGTTCGAGGACAGCACAGGCCCCAAAGATACACAAAGAGACCTGTCTTGAGCGCACAGGATAGGGTGCCAAGGGACCATGGACAAAAAAAAAAAAAAAAAAAAAAAAAAAGGAAATCAACAACAACAACAACAAAAACCCTATGAAATAGAAGAACAAACAACAACAACCAAAACCAAAAACTATGAAACAGGACCACTGTTTTTCACAGGCCTTTCCAAAGAAACCAGGAGACTGATATACAGTGCACAGTTGTGCAAGTTTTGCACCTCAAGGACATTAACATCTTAAAACACCAAAACTCTACTACACTCTGATTTCATTTCTTTAGTATTATGTTTAAAGGAAGAAAGAGAACAATAAAGTCCCATGTTTACTGGGAGTTAGTTGTGGAAAATTAAAGACCCATACCTGTGAAATCATCTTTAAACTGTTTAGTCCAGAACACAATTCTAAGCAATAAAAACCTTTTGAGGAATCTTAATTTTGAGCATGCTTACTGGACTAAACTATGGATTCAACTGTAAGTTTTCTCTAAATTTTCCCAGTTCCTCGCTTTCAGGCATTTGTCTCCATTAATTATGTTACACACAGTATCTGTTTAAATAAACAGAACCAGCTGGTACTGGTGGCTCAAGTTTGCAATACTAGCTATTCAAAAGGCTGCATGAGGCCAAAAGTATTGTTGCCAAGTTCAAGGCCAGCCCGACCAACTTAGTGGGGCCGTTTCTCAAAATAAAGTGCTAGGGTTATATATACCTCAGTGGCAGAGTGTTTTCCTTCAGTTCCCAGAACTTCAGGAAGTTAATAGGATACAGCTGCTTTAACAATATACTAAATATGAATTGGAATAGACTGCCAATAACGCCAGGGTTGCTCCATTTCTGTCAAATTAAGTACCAGAAAGATTGCATTCTACACCTAGAAGAACAGAACTAGATCCAAGATTTTTTAATCTAAACCACAATAATTTCTTAGACTCATTATCCCATTGCTATTACTATAACAGAACATGACAAAAATGTATTGAATATCAATGAGTAAGAAAAAGAAAAGAGAAAGACAGTATCAAACTCATTCTACAAGAAAAATAAAACTAAAGATAATTGGATATTTTAAAAAATTATCCAAACGTTTTGGATGATGACTCTAGTAGCGTAAACATTCCCCCCCAAAATCCAACACCAAATAATCAATATCTAAAAGCAAAACCAGAGTAAAAAAGTATTTTATATGCAGACTTAAAATCAAAGTATAAACATTTTGAGTTTTAAGACGCCTAATGATATATGACCTTTACTTTACACAGGACGATATATTTCGTACTCCAAAAAGGATGCTGAATAAACAGTTCAACTAACTGAAACAATAGTTCTAACTTTCAGCTGACTTAGAAAGAAAAATCCTTACGGTATTTCAAAAAGTTTAGCAAGTTTAAGGTTCCATTTCTTTTTCTAAAGGATTGTAAAGGCAACCTCCCAAACATCTTGCCTAAGCAATGTGTTAGCGCGCTGTTAATACTGTAGCAGTTTATAAATCAATGGAAGGGAAATACTTTTTCCCAAACGGGAACAGTTAAACCAAAATAACGTCTAATGCTACCTAAGATTAGAAAGCTCAAACCTCAACTTCGCTAACCAGCAGCAAAAACGTTCCTCTCTGCACTCAGGGGGCAAAACGTTCCTGAAGCAATAGCTCCACCTACTGATCCCGGATACTTCCTTAAACATTTTGGCACCCCAAAGTCTACGCGGCTCGAGTTCGTCCCCGTCCGCCCGCCCCCCCCCCCGCCCGCTCGCCCGCTCGCCCGCTCTGACCCAACCCAAATCTCGTTGAGTCACTAGCTGCTAACACTCATCCCCATGCTCTTTATTCCAATTCCTTTTCCCTCCAGAAGGTTCTGCACAGTCCACAAGTACGAAGAAAACAGAAACGTGTCAAAGCTCGCCAGCCACAGCGTGGATCCAGGGTACGGATGAGCACCTGAGGTGGCTCGGCCGCGCGCTCCCGGGAAGAGGCCCCGGGCGCCTACCAGACCTCCTCCCGGCTGTCCCACTCGGTGCACACTCGTCCTCTGGGTGGGATTGGCGGACTCGCGCCCTTGCCTCGGCTGGCCCTTCAGCCCGCCAACAGCCGGCCTAGTCTCCGCCCCCCTCCCGGAGCGGGGTGACCCAGGAGCCCGGCAGGGTCCCCCCGGAGGCCCGGTCTTGGCGCGAGTCTCCCCTCGCGGCGCTCTCCCGACCCACCGGCCCACGCCCCTCTCCCCGGCCCGCCGGCTGCCCTTCCTTCCTCACCCTTTCATCTTCCCCGCCTGCTGAGGCCGTCGTTACAGCCGCCACCAACGCCGTCGTCCTCGCCGCCTGGAGCTCTCCGCGCCCTGAGCTCAGGCCACTCAACCCCACACGCCGGCCTCTCGGCTGAGGGAAGGGCGCCGAGGGGCCAAGGAGGCCACGAAAGCCAAGCCGGGCCCCGAAGCTCCGGGGAGACGCGGGAAGACGTGCCGCCGCCGCGCCGCTCCTCCACACGTGCACACGGGACACTCCGCTCCCGCCCGCAGCTGCCGCCAGCCAGACCCGCCGCCGCGCCGTGACCTTTCACCCCGCCCCCTCAGCGCGCCGGCGCGGCCGCCGCGTCGCGCGCGCAGCCGCAGTGCTCCGTGCCGCGCGCCCCTCCCCCCAGGACTTTCCCCTTCCCCTGGGCTGGGCCTCCGCGGGCTAGCCCCGCCCACCCCGTGCGGCACTCCCGCGGAGCTTGCTAGGTCGGCTCCGGCGGTAAAATCCGGATCTTTCCACCCTTCCCTCTCGTCCCTCAACTCTGCAAGATCAGTCTTTCCCGCCCCCTCTCTCCCTAGCTCCCCAGTGACCTTCAAACGCTCTTGTCGCCTAACAGGGTTTTATAAAACGGGTTCTTCTCGATGTAAGAGAGCCTGTGGAGACCTGCAGTAAATGTGCTTTAAAAACCAAAAGGTAACGATGGCTCCGGATAACTTGGCTATCTTCCAGCAGGCAAGCCACGTTTTTTTTTGTAATCACGTGATAGGCTTAAGGTTTCCAGCCAGTATTTTAACTCGGGACTTAGAGAGGCGGGACTCCATCGCCACTTCCGGCAAGTAGAGCGTGACTTGACGTCACTTCCTTAGCAATGCACTTTAACCCTTGCCATCCTCGTTTTCTGTACTGTAGTTTATAACACAGTCATAGTGAAAAAAGGAAATAACTCGTTCATTAACCACGGAACCATTAATATCCAAGCGTTCCGCTGAGATTCAAGACTGCAGCGTGCCTGGGGAGGGGAACCAGGGTGGAGCTTGAGGTCACATGACTAGGACGCCCCGCCCCTTGCAGCTGAAGACTTCCCCTCAGTGACAGAGCCTTTGGGTCCCGTCTAGGTACTGAGCCTGCACTTCGCGCCCCAGCAGGTCAGGTGCGACAGGTAACTGGCGGCTGGTGGGGACGATTGACGGGGAGAGAGGAGAGAGGGAGTGGGGCGTGTGAACGGCGGCCTGCCGTGCTGCGGGCTCCTTCCCCCTTGTCATCCTGCACTGGCTAGCAGCTCTTTCCTCTAGATCTACATGCTGGACCCCTGGCTCGTCCCCGTAGTCCGCTGGCGAGGGATTATGATGCCCACCTTTCCCTGGGTTGAGAGCGAGTGCGGCCATTACGGTTCCCTATTTGGAGTCTTTGGGGCTGAAGGTGGTAGGACTGCTTTAGCCATTACTCAGGGTTTGCCACTACCTCCAGGTTCCATTCCCCAAAGCTCCTTCCCTGGCAAAGACCTTCGGCCGGAGGAGCAGGAAAATAGGAGAACCCCCTGGAGGCAGAGGCGTCTCCGGTGAGACAGGCTTGGGAGGGAATGTCACTGATATGGCCCTCACTGCAGAGTCACTGAAGAGCTTCCCTAGGAACGCGTTCTGGGCGATTCTAAGGGCTTTTTCGGACATCCCCGCAGAGTGAGTGTTCACTTGCTCTGGATGAGACTGGAAGAGTAAGAGCAGGGATAATGCTTTTTCTTTTCAGAGAGAAGGCGGTTGTCTATCTTCAGAACAGGGTGTTTGGTAATGCGACAGTCTCAGTTGAATGAGAAGGCAATGAAAGATGGTGTTGTCTCCTTGGGCTGGAGACCTAGGCTAGCTTATGGGAAAGTGACGAGCTTTTCCCGAAAGGGAAGTAATTCTTCGGAAACCGATCAAGCTGAAAATATAATTAATCCAAATTTATTTGCCTGTAATTTTAATGCAGGAAGATTAAGTCTAGATATTACTGACTTCGTATTTTCTGCCTGTGGCATCATTCTCTTTTTGGGCATTTTTTTTTCTTTAAATCCTACATAAGCGCCCCTCCCAGTCAATTCCTAGGCCTGTTTAAATTTGTGGAGTAACACTTGTGTTTTTAATTAGCTTTTGCATTTGTAAAAAAAAAAATGAAGTGACCTCTTCTGACTTGGGTGTATAATATATTGTGGAAATACAGGAATTATTTTGCCATAGGATTACCTAACCCTTTGTACTCCATTTAATATGCACTGTAGTAGCCAGTGTTTTGACATCAAACAATGAGCTTTAGGAAAGGAATGTTTTTCGGTTTGGGGCTAAACTCTTTTATTTATTCTGCAAACTTAGAAAGTTCCTTGTTTTAAAATACACATTTGACTTTTATAACTTAGATTATACACTTTCTTATATGAGATCAGGTTTTTAGTTAAATCTTAGTTCTAAGCAATGTAATCCAAGAATCTACTTTTTAACATCTGCCGAGGAATGGGAATACGGTTCTTATTTCCATGAATGTTTGAGGCGCTGGGTCCAATCCTCAGTACTTGAAAGTTAAAAATAACAACAACAAAAACCAAGAAAGGAAAAAGATGGAATGGTTGATTATCTTATTCTGATTTGTCAGTCTGAATTTTTCCCCTCCCAAGTTTTCTGAAATTACATGATCTTATTTGTCAGTGAGAGCTGCAAGCTAAAATAATGATAGCAATTTAACAAAATAGAAATATTTTTAAAAATATTACCTGGGTGATCTTGCACTGCCCAGAAAAAAAAATCATATTGGTTTTTGTATGTGTACTTACAATTTTATCATTTTGTGATCAATACTAGACAATAGCTATTGATATGTTTATGTAACAAGCATAAACATAGATTCTGAAATAGTGTATTCCTTTTCACTGTTAGTCATTCTGTGGTATGGAAGCAGCACAGTTGACTCAGCCATTCACTTGTTGCCATATTTATTTGCCTGTGTGTGCATGCCAGAGGTGTCTTCCTTGGTTCTCCCTGCCTCCTTTTTTTTAAAGGTAGGTTAACTCACAGATTCAAGCCTAGCTGGCCAGCACGTTCCAGGCATCCTCCTGTCTCCATTTGCCCCTGAGCACTGACTTTTACATGGATGCTGGGGAGCCAAACTTGGATTTTCCTGCTTGCAAAGCAGGCGCTTTAGTGACTGAGCCATCTCCTGAAATAAAGTTTTAGCCATTGTTTTTCTCCAGAGTGAGGTTCCGTGATCTCTTGAGGAGAGGGAAAAAAATGGTTTTGCTTCCCTGCCCGTGTGACATTCCACCAAATAAACAGAATTCCTAAGTGCTTTGGAAATCCAAACCAGTTCTGTGCAGGTGCACCAAAATGGACTAGAGGAAACCAGTTTAAAAGTATGGAGTACTAGAGTAGGAGAAGTTCATAAGAAAGAGATTGAATGAGTCTGCAGTTTTACTTCACAATTGATTGCTCCAATTTTAGGGAACTGGTGAAAGCAGTAATTTAGACTACTGATGAAACCTGAAAGATTAGCAGCAGGAATCAGTGACTAAATAGCAATGGAGAGTAAATGTGAAAAAATGTTTGACATTATGTACACACACAAATAGATGATTGGAGCATTGGAAGGCGTTTCTGATACTGTATAGTTTATGAGTTTTTTTTTTATGTGTCTGGGTGTGGTTGTGCATGCCTTTATTCCCAGCAATGGGAGACAGAGCCTAGTGAATCTCTGTGGGTTGAAGGTCAGCTAGAGCCCTGAGACCATGTTTAAAAAGGGAGGGAGAGATTTATATGCAGAAATTTATTTGGGGAATAAGTCCTCCATTAAGTAAAAATGTAAAGGTTGGGGCCCCAACATTCTTTGATTTTCCATTATGAGGTCTTTCTTAGTTTCACTCTCTTTATAGGGTGTCATCGCCAAAAAGTATTCTTCCCCTTTGCACCAAGGTTGCCAGTCAGTCCCTTAGGCTACTTCTACTAGCTAGGGTATTCCTTAGTAAGCTGTAAACCTCCCTTAAGTTAAAGCATAGTGTCCCTATTTTGTCTTTCCACAAGGATGCTGAAGTGGATAAGGACTTGCCCAAGCTCACAAAATGCTGAGGTTCCTGGTAGATTGTTTACTGAATGAGTGTTGAGCAACTAACAAGGAAATAAAACTACTGTAATTCTCACAGATTGTGGTTCCTTCTGAGATTGTTTACTAAGTACTGATTTTTTATTGTCATTTTCCAAACCCTAAATAGAATAGACATAAACCTTGTATGGACTTTATTGATACAGTTGCTAACTTGTGTTATGTTATGTTTACTGATAAGGTCTGTGGTTATCATTCAGTAGGAGAGGGCAGAGATAGTTGTGCTAAATGAGGAAAAATGGTTCTACATAAACTCCAAGTGGTTTAACACCAAAGTTAGAGGAATCAGCTTCTTTGTCTTAGTCACATGTCCTTTGAGTGCAGCTCATGATGGCAGTTTCATGGTTTTGTACCAGGAAACTTTCCTCCTGAAGGTATTGTAAGTCAAATGAGATAACCTTACATATTCTATTTGGAAGCAGTTTTAAAACTAGATGGTATATGAGAGGAAAACAATGCAATTCAAATTTTACCTGAGTAGATGGCCCAATCACAGAGAGCTGGAATTAGGTTTTAGCCTCCCCTGTTATTAGCTGTCTGACCTTGGGCACTGAAAAATCAAGTTTCCCTATGTTTAAATCTAGCCCATAGGTGTTATTAAAGTACACCAGGAGTATACAGAGTCTAGTACATACTTTATAAACTTTTTTTAAAACAGAAGCCAAGGCTAGCCTTGAAACATGGTCATCCTCCTGCCTCCCTCCTAAGTGCTGGCATTACAGTCGTATGCCACCACACCAGCAGAAATTCTTACTAATTATATGACAAGTGTCAGTTGTATATGCTGAACTTCTAGAAAGACTCAGATGTGCAACAAAAGGTTTGTGTCACGGTGAGTGGGCTAGAATTTGAAGTGGGTGTATGATGAACAATAGAGCGGAAAAAACTCTTGTAGCTTTACTCTTTGAGACTGGCTGTGTTGTTACTCAGCTGCTTTAAAACCTCAGGTCTAAGGCTGGTCAGTCTGCCTCAGCCTCCCAAGTCGCTGGACTGCAAACTCAGGTGCCACCACATGTGGTTCCCGGCAGACTCTAAACTTGTTTATTAGTAGGCGCTCAGAAATATCAACATAATCCCCCTCTTTTTGGGGGGTTCGCTATAGTTTAGTATTTTTTTATATTTAAAAGTTTTCTAATGCTCATTATAATCATTAATGTGTGGAATTGATTTTCAGAAACAATTTTTCCACTTTTAAAGTTTTATTC